TCGTCGGGACCAGAAAACAAATGTCGTTATAGGAAGTTGTCGTTAAAGAGAATAACCACCCAAAAAAAGATACTATTGATAATATATAAAGGAACAAATCAGGACCTGGGCACCATGTCGCTATACAGAGGATGTGGTTATATCAAAGGTCGTTATAGAGAGGATGTGGTTATATCAAAGGTCGTTATAGAGAGGATGTGGTTATATCGAAGGTCGTTATAGAGAGGATGTGGTTATATCGAAGGTCGTTATAGAGAGGAAGTGATTATATCGAAGGTCGTTATAGAGAGGATGTGGTTATATCGAAGGTCGTTATAGAGAGGATGTGGTTATATCGAAGGTCGTTATAGAGGGGGCGTCGTTATATCGAAGGTCGTTATAGAGAGGATGTTGTTATATCGAAGGTCGTTATAGAGAGGATGTGGTAATATCAAAGGTCGTAAAAGAGAGGCTGCACTGTACCAGTATTGGTGTAGTGTAAGAGAATCTATTAATTTAGACAGGGAAATGTTCTCTTAAAAACCAAGTTATAATGTATGAATTATAATTAAATGTACTGAAATACACGTGTATAACTTTTTATATAGATAGAGAGAGATAGAGAGTGAGAGAGAGAGAGAGGGAGATTTCTGGCTTTCTGTTAAAGAATATATACGGTAATTGTTTAAGTAGGGAGATGCTTCACAAAATATTATGACATGTGCTTCAAGATGTGTCTTGTCACTCTGTGAAAAGTAGCCTGTAATATTCTACATGTGTATTAAAATTATGAAAAATAAAATGACAACAAATCATTAATAGTTGGTTGTTATTGCTACAGGCTGCTCCTTATTGTACCTAAGTGACCATTAGTAAATAACGTCAGCCCAGAGGGGAAGGGGGGCGGGGGGTCAGTGAAAGCCAAGTTAGAGAGGGGAGAGAGAGCGGGGAGGGGGGAGAGAGAGAGGGAGAAAGAAAGAGAGAGAGTGTGCGTGGAAGGGAGGGAGACTGAAAATAAGACGAGGATAAGGAGATTTTTTTTATTTTTTTTTTGGGGGGGGGGGAGAGATAGTAACATGAGGACTTAAATGTTGATTTTATGATGAGTAGGGTGCTGAGGAAATGATTATACTATAGAGTGTGTACTGTGGTGTTGGTGGTGTAGTGGTAAGGCTACCGGACTCGTAATCGTGAGGTTGCGGGTTCGGGGGTTCGAGCCGCGGGCCCAACGTTGTGTCCTTGGGAAAGGCACTTTACACGAATGTTCCTCACTTCACCCAGGTGGGAATGGGTACCCGGCCACAGACAGTGAAAGATCTTGTCAGTCTGTCCTGTCCTCAGAAAAATTCGCGCCTTTGCGCGCGCAACTTTTGCCGTCAGCACAACTTTTACGATTTTCGTGAATTCGCTAATTTTAGCCAATTTCCCGCAAAATTCGGAAAAATAATAATAAAATTTCATTAAAAACACCGAAATTTTCTTCCACGGCTAAAAATAACGTCGCCAAGGGGGACAATTCGCTTCTTTACACTTTGCACTTTGCACTAGCCTACGGGTGCCCGCCGCCGCCCAGTGACCCGGGCCGGGTCAGGTCGGGTCGGGATGATCGCCTGAAAACAACGTGTTTGTTTTGAAACAACGAGCGATCGACTTGTGCCACGATAGCCGCTTTGCACCATCAATCAAGCGAGCAGACCGACTCAATAGCCTTCTTTGGACTAGTCTAGCTAGAGTAAATCAATCGTAAACACGGTCGTCTGATTACTTAGCTTGCTTTGTTCCGTACCACCAGGGTAGATCTAGATCTAGTATAAAAATTTGTGAAAGACTTTAAATCTTAGGCTAAGGAGGGTAGATCTCAAATGGATCGATTCATCCAGAAAAACTCCTAAAGGGAAGGGGACGTTCACATAATATCATCTAATGCCAGGAAGAAAAGGGGGGG